TCCTGAAGATGACCTCAGATTGAGGTCGAAATATCGACAATTAAAAAATATCAATAGAACGAAGTTTTTGCGTTTTATTTAATTGCTGGGTCTCGAGCTTGTTAAAAATGATTCATAATTTAAAATTCAAAGGCCAACAAAAAAAACAAAATTTTTATTTTTCATTACATTATGAATATGGTTGTTTTAAATGGACATTTTCAAGCACGCAGTTTGATTTGCTTGATCGCGTTTCAGTTTTTCATTTCAAAATGTGTATCAACGAGTAAAGATATAGTTTGCGGGACACCGCACTTGCGGGATTGGATTCCCTAGTCATGACAGTATTGCCCGGTGTAAAGCTTAAGGGCCAGTTGTTCAATGTCTGATTAGCACAAATCGGAGGTAGAAGCTCCGGTTAAATACAACTACTGCTTTATCGATCACATCTAATATGTATGATGTCCAAAACGTCGATAATGATGTTTAACCGGCAAGAAGTGAGGACCAGACATTCTAAATATATATCATCAGAAAATACTGAAATTGAAAATTTATGCAAGTTTTAGGTACACTGTGTAATAAATAAACAAATTTTTAAAGTTTCATAAATTGCATTTTATTTACATAAAATTTACAAAGTACTCAAACATTTTCAACCGGCTTCGAAAAAGGGGAGGTTATCAATTCGTCGGAGTATTTTTTCTTTATTTATGTATGCCACCGCATAACTTTGGATCGCGTGAACCGATTCCAATAATTCTTTTTTTTACCGGAAAGATGGTACTTTAAGGGTCGTCCCTAAATTTGTATATCTGAATTGAAGTCGGTTTTGCTTTTTGCTTGAAAATTACTTGTTTAATAAAAAGTTCTATAAACACAAAATGCGCTCAACTTTCAAAAGTAATAAAAAAAATTATAAAAGAATTTTAATATAAATAAATTAAATAATTCCATGAAATTTTTACACTTTTATGTCCATTTTCGTCAATTTCTGGTTTCTCATTTTTTTAATACTTCGAATACCGAAAATGTAACTGATTATCATGTAGCTCATTTTGGTGGAACGAATTCGAAGTTAGCAAATTCAATCTTCGAATGCTTGTTAAGTACATATCAGTGGTAAACTTTTTTAGGCTGTAAAGTGTAAAAAGCAACAGTAAGTGAGTATGCATTGCATATTTTTAGGGCAATGTTTTCATTCGCAGTTAAACTTTAAAGAGCTCTCAAGAAATACGAAAAATTCTTACAAAATGACGCACAAGAAATGGAAAAGAAATTTTCTTCTATCAAAATTTCTTAAATCAGTTTGCAGCTCTCAAGAAAAAAATACTCTTTTATTCATTTCTTCAGGAAAATTTGCTTTTTCAAGCAACAGAAATAATAAGAAATATTTCTTGTGGTTTTCTTGAGAGCTTTAAGATACAGTTTGTAATTGAGGTTATGAGCTTTGGGCGGGGGGTGGGTTTGAACCCCAACACCCACCCCTTATGTGCGCTAATGCTAAGTGCTCATATTTACTCAACTGTAAACAGTTTGTGTGTAGTTTTACTCTACGTGACAAATTTGGTATGTAAAAGTAAACAGATAGGCCCCTATTATGATTTGCATTCGATTTTCGACTGTGGTCGAAAGTGCTGAGCGAACGAATTTGCATTTGGTATTATGGCACTCATTCGATGAAGAATAGCGCTATTGTGAATTTCGCTCGTTTAGGTTGTTCACAATAGTATATTTTTCACCGCTGAGAAGCTTTGTTTACAAATCGAGCAAACTAAATAGTGTGCTTATACATATTTATGTAAATTTGTTCTAATTAAAATGAAGTAAAAAAGAAAGCAAGTTTATAAAAACGTGGTAAAATGAGTACAACGAGTTCTGGTTCAACGATTCGTCAGAGGATGAGAGCTTAGTAAACTGGCCAGGAGTAGCAAATGTTTAAGAGAGTTTAAGTTTATTAGTCTTTCGAATATATTTTGATATAAAACATATTTAAGAAATTTGTCTACAGATTCATTAAAAAGTTCCGACCATCTAAAGAGGCGTTTGTGAGCCAAATCTATTTAAAATATTTTAAAACTATCAACAGCGCTACGATTTTGTTCTCAGAGATCGTGCCAACAGAGTATTGGGATTTTCTTTCACAAGTAAAACCAGCCTTTCGAGCTTGTGTTTAGTATTCAAGATGTTAGAACTGCATGAAATTAATAAAAATTGTTTAAAATTAATGTCTAGCCGCCAAAATGTAAGAAAACATATACAAAATCATACATTTTTCACAATTTTCTAACACTTCGCTACACCATCGAAAGCAAAATTCTGTTCGACAGAAAATTCGATACTCAACGAAAATTTCGACACGCTTGCATAGCTCATAATACGAATTCCACTTTCGATCTTCGATCTTCGATAGCCAGCGAAGATCGAAAATCGAATGCAGCTCATAATAAGGGCCATAGTGTTTAATTTTTCACACACTAGGGGAGAAAACTGGTTACCTCTCTTTATATGCGTAAATTTAAAGAACAATTTTTTATAGGAAATTTTAAACATTTTATGTGTAAACTGTGAAATTGTGAACAATAAATATTTAGAACTCAAAAAACAAATGTGAAATTTGTTCTACGCCACGCATATGATAAGTCAAAGCAAGCAAGCAGTGTTTAATTTAATTAACACGGTGTGTAAATTTGCATTCATTAAGAGAGGAAACTGGTTACCTATCTTAATATGCGCAAACTTAAACAAAATTTTTTTAGAGTGTAGATCTAAAATTTCTACAGCGAAAGTACAAATTTGAGATCGGTTTTAAGCGGTCGTTATTCATATACAAACATACATACATATATTACTTTTCTTAGCAACTCAAGTCTATTAAATTCCCGCAAACATATTCTGAGCGTTCAGAATATATGGGTCCGAAAGGAGTCCTTGGTAGGTAAGAAATATGAGTTTCAAAAACAAAAAATTTTTTTACTCTTATATGAGTCTCTTAGGAGTCATATATGATCCAAGTTATGAGCCAGCACTTTGTGCCAATATAAAAACAATAAAAATTTATATCGAAACTTGTTTATACAGATATGAAAAATAATTAGGAAGCAAAAAATAAACAAAATTTAGCTGCAGCAGCTGATATTACATGAATATTGCAATATATGTACATATATATGTATGCGTAGAGGTATGTTTGTATATATGTAATCAACAGTATTTCAAAGGAATGCCCTTTCAAACATGGCTCTAAAGTAAGTTAAATAAGACTCTCAGAACAGCATAAAATAAGACTCTGAATGTAGGCATTTATGAGGCCAATAAGAGTCATTTAAGAGCCTCAAAAAGTGTCCAAAATGAGACGTATGTGAGGCCAATAAGAGTCCAATATGACTCACATTAAGGCTAATTTTATGTATAAATTTAAGCTCATATAAGTCGACCATCGCAGGAAGTGAAGCACCCTCATTTCGGACTCTTAAATGAGCTCATTGTTGAGCATTAAGGCTCCGAAATGGGATTCCTTAAAGACTTATTTATGACTCCAAATGTTTGCTGGATGCGCCCACTCTTTTTATTTTCAATCTCATCAATTGTTTATAGTGACTTTTGCTAAAATTTTAAGATCAAAAGTCATCAAATCAAATTGTATGGGACTGAGAAATATTATTTTCTACTTTTTAGTCCATTTATAAAAGCGTGGTATATAAAATATTTTTTTTTGTTTTATTTATTTTCTACTTTTTAGGCTTAATAGATTGGTGCTTTCACATATTATACGACACTCCCAGCGTCCAAAAACACGTTAAAACACCTTAAAAGGATTTCAAACGCCCCAAAATGGCCGCTGGAGCTCAAAACAGCCAACTGGGCCCAAAATGGTACGAAATTAATTAGTTTCGGTTTGGTCCAAAACTGAATGCCAATGATCCCTGACTGGACTCAGACTGGATACCAACAGGTCACCAAAGAGTAGTTATCAACTGGCCCTAAACTGCTTACCAACTGAGCCCCCCGTACCTCAAATGGTTCCCAAGTCACTCCCCCAAATTCAGCAACTGAGACAAAAACCATGAGTTCGTCTCTGTCTAGCCCTTCGAAACTTTTTGCTGGGCTATGCGTTACATCTTCGCAAATTTTACCACTAAAGGTGTCTGGACATACAACTTTGCAAGTTGATAAAAGCGTTGTAAAAAAATAACAACTGTTCGGGTAGTAATGAAGTGTTCTATTTTGCAACTCGAAAATTTCAGTAAATTTGAGAATAACGGCCCAATTGTTTCGTCGTTGTTGCGTACTCAATTGGTCCTAACAATGACAGTGAAAATTGCCATTATTAGATCGCTTAAAGTCAAGTTTTTGCGGCATGTTTATAGGCGCAGTAGTTAAGGCAATGGAAGGGGTTAGAATCATAAGGGTCTAAGTGACATTTTTTTTAAATAAAAGTTATTCCCGTATTTGTATAGTTAAATATAGTGTTTATTTGGTGACAGACATTCATTTAAATTAGTTAATTAACCTGAATTTATTTAGGCAAGAATCATTTCAAATGCATTTACCCAGAATTTACAATAAGTAATCGACTTTAACCTTAATTATCTCAAAAAAATGTCTGAACTACTTACATCCTTTTGATTCTGACCTCTTCAATTGTAATGCGATGAGCTTTGTCTTTGGCGTAATTTTACGGATATCTGTCTAACCAAATTAACGGATATTAACCGGATATCCAGAATACAAAATTCACGAATATTAACTGACTATTAACCGCATATGTGTAATTTTCGGATTTTATCCGTATTCAGGAATATCCGAACGGATATATGGATGGTCCAGGCTCTAGTTGCCAACAAATGATAGAAACAGTTCATTCTGGCAAAGGCCAAACAGATGAATGTAAAGTAGTTGTATTTTGTTAGTTGTATTTTGCTTTTAATTTAAGCGATGGTTCTTTTTTAATCGCTTTTGGGTTTTTCCTTTTCAGCCGCTACATCCGGTAATAGTACCCAAGGCGACTTAAATTGGGGTGGCGCACCACAATCATCCCATGGTATTTTTACGTTTGTTAATTTTTGCATCTAATTTTTGTTTAAAATAATTTCATATTTTAGAATTTTCCAGTGATGCATCCAAAAAACGCAAATGCAGCCTATGCCGACTGGAAGGTCATAACCGATTAAAATGTCCACGGAAATCTGAATTTAAACTCTAGCTTGTCCATTGCAATTACTTGAATCGTCACTATGGACCCATACTGTACCGCTGTTATACGAAATATATACAATGTACATTGTTCATACATGCATATCGTTGCCTTAATTCACAAAGGCCCTAACTAACAGTTTTTTCGAAACTGCACTTTTCACAGATTTTGGTAGGATATATCAAAATACACCTTCAATCAAGAATGTAAAGTGTTAGTATCAAAAACAACGGAGTTGCATGCCACTTCGTAAAAAGGGCTACCTGCTTTTGATTTTCTTTTTATAAGGTTTTTGGTTAGGACCTTTGTGAATTCATGTAACGATATGCATCTTAAGTTCATGCATACCGTTCATAAAGTCTTTTTTGTATGTACATCTTTTCTAAGAGACAAATTATTATGGTATCTAAGATTTAATTGTAGTAGCAAAATGTAGAAAATATCGAAAAATACTATTTTCCTCTAAAAATCTTTTCGTATGCCGAATTTCCAATAGGCTTGAAATTACGAAAAAGATGTGCCATTTAAAAAATGCTTCGTAAGGCAGTGTCTCACGATTGGACTCAAAATTTGGTGCAAATTGTATCCCAATCGTGTGAATGCACAAATATTTTTCTTTATCCCAATCACCAAAAATGATTTAATATAATTTTTCAATAAAGCGAACATTGTACCAATCGTGTGACTAAAAAAAAATCTTTCTAATTTTTTCATTTTGTAGCAACAGTCCATTACACAGCGCGCCAGAAGTTTGAAAAAGTGGCCAAAATTGTTGCTTGACTATTTAAACGTGAAAAAAGTTATCAAATTCCGTGTCCAAAAATTATAAAAAAATCTGAAAAGACACGTATTTTGGATTTTTTGAACTATTAACAGCTTTATTATTAAAGCAGGGTTGCCAGATAGATATGTGAAAATTTATAATTATTCAAAGGCTGTACAGCATACTTCAAGTTTTGGTGGTTGAACAAGCTTTAACAGGGCTTGTTCGAGTTGCAATCACAACCGGAGTATTGCGCGAATTACTAAAGTATCACGCTCTTTGTGAATTTCTCGAAATGCATTATCAGTTGGGCAGTTGCAACAATGTTGCCATTTTTCATCAGTACGGCAGTAATGCCGCTTTTATTACGTGCCTCGAACAGGCCCACACTAACATGTCTTTGAGTAGGGTTGCCTATCTATCAACTAAGACTATCATTTTTATTATTTAAAGAAATAAAAATACGAATTTAATTGAAATATTTTAAGTGGTGACTTTTATGTCAAAGTGTTTAAAAAAATCATTTATTTTAACTATAATTTTTAAATGGATTTTGAGAATTATTTCAAAATTTAACCTGTTATTAGCCTGCAAATTGCCACTCTTGCAGTATCCAAGGCCTACCAGGAGGAGGTTACAGGAATAAAACACCCCACGTTTTTATTAATTTTCAGATGAAAAAAAACTTCAGCGATAGGTTAAAGGTGAGATCCTCAATGGCTAGGGGCGTCGCCTGTGTGTAATTTTTCATACATACAGTGGTGGAAAAATAAATAGGGACACGACATTTGAACAAATTTTTCCTATTTTTCTTTTGTTTATTTAATATTTATTATTTTTTATAAATGCATAGCCCATTATCTAGCAAAAAACATATAAATTCATATTTCAAACTATATGCAATAATTATAAAAAATTTGCAAACTTGCATCTTGCATTTTTAATCAGATTTTTTAGAATTTTTTGAGTATGCAGTTTTATAGCTAAGTTGCTAAAAATCGCGTTTCTTTGGCAATTTTTTTAACGCATTTTCTTCCATTAAAAGTATGTTCCACAATTTTTTTGTATGGAAAGAAATGCGTAATACATTCAGAATAAAATTCATCAAACATTAATGGGCTACTACTGCATGCATACTCTAGTCTATGTCTGAAGAGCAATCGGTTTTCTAAAGGTTTTGTAAAAGCTTAAACAGACGGCAGCGTTGATCCGGATTAACTCGGACTTAATCCGGATCAACTGCAGTTAATTCCCGAGTTGATCCGGATGAACGCTGCCGTCTGTTTATGCTTAAAGACTCTACTCGTTGACTGTACTCTTATAAGGGTTTTATAATGCTCTTAATAAAGAACATATATTATAAAATAGGTTTATAAGGCTCTGCGTGTAGAAATATTTCTATAGGGCTCCTTTTTTATCCTGTTTTCTTTTCTATTTCATGATTAGAACAAATCTTCTACAAATTTAAGCTTTTAGATCTCTATAAGCTTTCTTCATTCAGAACCAGCAACACGCAAATTTATACACTTCTATAAATTTTAATTCTTAGAGAAATTGCGCATTCTCTTTTCGAAGTAGGATTTGTCTTCATAAAGATCATAAATACTATTCAGTCATACCATTTCGTATTTTCCTAGATGAGAAAAAATGCTTTGTTTTAGAAGTTATATACTTATATGCACATTTTGTGTAGATTAACTGCTCTTCCTCTTCGAAGTTGGATTCCTCTTCACAAAGATCATGAATACCTTAAAAATCGAATTGGAAATTAGGCTAGGTATTAGTACTAAGCTACGAAAAAAAAAATAAGTAAAAAATTCCATCACGTAAATTTTCGGAGAAAATTCGTTTTCAATTTTCTTTATTGTTACAACATATTACTAGCATTAACTTCGAATTTCTATAAAGGCATCCACATACCTATGCGATCCTGTCGCAACGAATCCGCACCGATGCTACAGGTTACTGCTTCGAAAACGCAAGTACGCACACATCTGTGCGATTTTATCGCAGCAAAAACGGTCAATTTATAGACAAACAAAAAGTATTTTTCAATAAAAATAAAATTCTTAACTTTTCTACATTAAATATGTTTTGTTTTCTTACGTTCAATTTTGTGTTAATAATGTAAAATCCTTCTATTGACCTTTTTTGTTCTCAAAACGCGGCAGTCTGCGATTTCGGCACGACCAAAAGAAGAACTGTGAATGGTCGAATAAATCGCTGCAGCAAAATCGTGCAAGTGTGTGGTTCCTCATTTAAAACTATGGTCGGCATTGTTGTAATTTTTGTCGGAACAGATTCGCACCGACAGAATCGCGTAGGTGTGTGGATACCTTAAATCTTTCTGATTTACTGAGGGTTTTGTATATATGTATTTGCTCAATTCATAAAGGAGTTAGCGTTGTCAAACTCTCCAAGTATACTATTTTGGACTTTAATACACAAATTGGTTTATAAGTGTCTTTGGGTAGAAATTTGGCTGTGGCGCCACATTTTTTATATCTTTTTAATGAAAAAAAAAAACAAGTTCGAATGGCAAAAAATTAAAATTTTCGTTTTTTTATTAGACGCATTTTCATGGCAGGATCACATTCGGAGGTTTGCCTCCGGTCTCAAAAAGGCTAGCGTGTACAATAACGGATAATCTCAAATATTTATAAAAATGTATTTTGTCATAAGTCTGAGATGAAAAAAATTACAAATCAGAAGTATAAAAAGTATTGTGTTATTAAATCAAAAGTAAAAAAAGTATTGGTTTATTGACGAAGGGGGGAGATCTATCCACCCAATCCCCCCCTCTGGCTACGCCACTGCACGGATGACATCGCGACTGCATATTTACTATTCTTATAGCTAGCATCAAACAGTTAGTGATGTGCCGAGTCGGCTATTTTTGGTACTCGAGTATTTTGGTACTCATTAAAAAAAAGAATCGAGTCAGGATTCGAGTCAGATACTCGGATCAAGTATTCGAGTTGAGAGCTCGGTATTCGAATACGTTATAGATTCGACTGCTGAACATGCACCCAACCGAAATGCCGACTTTTTATTTAACATGATATTATTATTAACTCCAAGATAGTATATCCGATTTATGTAGATCCAAACATAGAAATCTAATTCTTACATACTTACAAATAATAATTAAAATTAAATAAATATAGGGTTCAATAACAGTTGCTTTATTTATCATAGTAGAACTAGAACTTAGTAGTATGTCATAAAAAAAATATCCAAAGTAAATAATGAGTTAAAAAAAAATAAATCTTCAGTACCTTAAAAGTTCAACTAGTACTTCAATTATAATGCCAATATTCCATGAGATCTAGATTCATAAACAACAAAATTACTCCTTTGGAATTTAAAATTCCTTTCATCTTTGGCAATTAATACCTATAACGATATTAAAATTAATTTAGTTGTGTGGTGTATTTGGTAAATATATATACATATATATTTTTTTTTAACGCTAAACCGCCATTTATATATCAAAAATACCTGATTCGGTGTTTGATAATTATAAGTACTCGAGACCCGTACTCGAGTCTGTGTATGCGAATACTATAATTTGCTTACTCGAGTACGTGAGTACTTCTAAAATACTCGAGTCAGAACTCGAGTCGACTCGACTCGGCACATCACTACAAACAGTGTGACAAGTGCATCACACGACGTTGGTATCGATGCGGACCAATTAGTTCCAGTTTTTATGTTATTTATTTGTTTATATATGTATGAGAATTTTGAACACATTTACATACTTATGTAATAGAAGTCCAAAAATTTTACAAATCTGTGATTGTTTTATTGTTGTTTGTAGAACTGTTCACACATTTTTATATGTCCTTACTAATTTAAAATTTTATGTCTATCTATATGTTGATGTGGAAATAAAAAGGGAAAAAACGACCATGAAGATGTTAGGAAATTTAGTGAAACGTCGGGTTAAAAAGTGAAGAACAGTGTTTTCTTTCACATAAAAGTACTGATCAATAGGCATAAGAAATAACAAAAATTATCTACCAAAAATTTATCATTAACTAGTAATCAAATTATTATTTTTTTAATATTTTTATTGAGCTTTGTACCACGATTGTTTATTAGGAAAAATTTAAAAAGCAACAAAGTCTAAGCGGTAGAAGTTATAGCATTATTTCGGAGATCACCACATCTCCTCATCAGACTTCTTTTTTTTCTAGACTTCAGCAGGAATCGAACCTGCGTATTCGATGTTCGAAGTCAGAAGTGTTAACCACTGAGCTATGTACATTCCGTAAACTCTTGTTGCTAATTCATTTTCCTTATTCAACCAACTACT